AATTTCGAATTTTGTAAACTTTCAATTGCTAAAATCATTTCAAATTCTAATAGTGGTGTTGAAAAAGCTAGGATTATTGCTTTGCAGGAAGAGGAAAGTGGTGCTTGGCTGAATGCTTTACCCTCTTCGAATCTCGGTAATTTGTTAGATGACGCGACGTTCAAAATTTCAGTAGCTCTTCGCGTTGGTCAACCTGTGTGCATGCCACACATCTGCACTTGCAACAACCAAGTTGATAAATTTGGGCTTCATGCCCTGTGTTGCAAAAAAAAGTGCAGGTCGGGTGACCCGTCATAGGTTGATCAATGATATTATTATAATAAAGCGCTCGTTAGCATCAGCAGATATTCCTTCCATACTAGAGCCACCTGGTATATGTAGAAGTGATGGCAAACGTGTGGATGGAATGTCTCTGTTGCCTTGGAAGAGTGGTAAAGCATTACTTTGGGATGCCACATGTCGAGATACTTTGTGTCAAACTTACATATCAAAGACAGCGATTAAGGCTGGTGAAGCAGCAAGAATTGGTGAATCCCAAAAAATTCTCAAATATAAAGAACTGCAGGACCGAGGTTTTCTTTTTGTTCCGTTTGCTGTGGAAACTTTCGGACCTTGGGGTAATGAAGCTTAAAGATTAATTAAACAAATTTGTCAGAAAATCAATCATAAGTTGTGTAATTACGACAACATAATATTTGTAGGAGATTTTAATGTTCCTGATATCAACGGCTGTTCATATGATTGGTCTACTGGTTCTACTAAAGCACAGGTAATAAATACCCTTATCAACGAATATGACCTTTATTCTATCAATGATAATAGAAATAACTCTGGTAACACACTTGACCTGGTACTTACAAATATTACAGAGGCCCAGGTGAAGGCTTCCCTTGATGATACTCTAGTGGGTATAATAGATGGTTATCATCCACCACTCGAAATAAGTTTTGAAATTAGACATACTGTCGGAGCAAATTTGAAATCTGAAGGCACCTTCAAATTTGATTTCAAGAGGGGAGACTATTATCAGTTATATTCCTTGTTACAGGACCAGGACTGGTTGATGCTGTCAAACTGTGATGATGTAGATCATTGCCTAAGTCTTTTCTATCAGACATTAAATACCATATTGGAACGTTGCATTCCCAAAACAAAAACTAGCACTGTTGACCCTAAGTTTCCAATGTGGTTTACGAAAACATTAATGCATAAAATAAAAGAAAAACAACATTTTCATAAAATGATGAAAAAGCATAATTCACAAAGGGAGTTCTATAGTCAACAGTACAGTTCTCTTAGACGTGAAACAAAAAGTCTAATTAGGCAATGTCATAATCAGTACATGAAAGAAAAAGAAGATAACATCTATAATGATCCCAATATGTTCTGGAACTTTGTTAAGGAAAAACGAAAGAATAGCAGTCTGTGCCACAAATTTACTTATGGTGATCAATCTTATACTGAGGATGCAGCTGTTGCTAACGCATTTTCAGAGTTTTTCAAAGATATGTACAATAATAGTCCTGGTTCTGTTTTTTCGAGTGCTGATATTTGTGATAATTCTGTAGATGTCTCTAACCTAGATATACTGGCACTAAAAAGTGTGAGTGTGGAAGATGTTAGCTCTGCAATTCAATGCTTGAAGCCTGAAGCTGCTGTGGGCTTGGATGGACTACCAGCATATTTTTTCAAAGCATATACAGATTTCTTAACATTACCATTACAAATACTTATAAACAAATCTTTATCTCAAAATTACTTTCCAGCTGAACTTAAAAAAGGCTGTGTCACACCAGTCCATAAAAATGGAAATACAAGTCTTGTCAATAATTATCATCCCATTACTATTTTACCCACCGTTTCAAAAATTTTCGAAAAAGTAGTTTATGAAAAAATATACCACCATGTAGAACCCATCATAATACCACAACAACACGGTTTTTTACAGAAAAGGTCAACAGTTACAAATCTCACTGTTTTTTCTGAGTATGTAGCTGACCAAATGTCGAGCGGTTGTCAAGTTGATGTTTTATATACAGACTTGGCAAAAGCTTTTGACAGAGTGGATCATAAAATTCTCATTGGCAAACTTTCAAAACTATCTTTTGACCCCAATCTTGTACAATATCTGGGTTCCTATATTAGTGATAGGCATCAGGTCGTCAAGTTTAATAATGCACTTTCTGATGGTTATCTGGCAACTTCTGGAGTACCTCAAGGTTCAATACTGGGTCCGCTTCTCTTTAATCTTTTTATTAACGACATATCCATTTATATCAAGAACTCGCAATTTCTCTTATATGCAGATGATTTGAAAATATATAGAGTTATTAAAGATCAGTCAGATGGTCATTTATTACAGAACGATTTGGACTCTTTTGTACAATATTGCAAAAATAATAACCTGCAACTCAATATTGATAAGTGTAAATGCTTGTGTTTTGGTCGTACTAAACAGCCAATAATTTGTGATTATAAAATCTGTGATAATAGTCTTACTAGAGTGCAGGAAATAGTAGATTTAGGTATATGTTTTACAAAAAATTTCAATTTTAATTAGCACATAGAAAAGCTGTATATAGAAGGTATGAGGAAACTTGGATTTGTCCTACGCACATGTAACAACTTTCGCAACTCTAATGTGATTCTCATCTTGTTTAATTCTCTTGTACGATCCAAGATAGAATACGGTAGTATCATATGGAATCCTAGCACAGCGTGTCATTCCGAATCATTAGAGCGAATTCAGAAGCGATGCTTACGGTTTATTTATTTCAAGCGGCATGGATATTATCCAGGTTACCCACACCTAATATCATATAACTCACAACTGGAGGAGTTTGATGTTATAAGGTTGGAAAAGAGAAGGGCCTTCACTGACATCCTATTTATTTTTAACATATTGAGAAACAATATAACTGTACCTGATATATTACAATATATAAGCTATGATGTACCTGACCCTAGATTAAGACTAAGAAATAATATATTTAAAATTTGTAATATCTCCTCCCCCTCACCCATAACTAGGTGCTTAAGAAGAGTGAATGATGTTGCTAGGGATAGTGATATAGATTTTCCTACCTGTACAAAAAAACAGTTATTTAATTATTTTTTCAACCTTTTGTAGTTTTGTTTATTTTCATGTATTTACATATTTTTATATCTATGTTTTATACATTTATTTTTTTTTTTTTCTAAAACTGTGCATGTTTTTATTGGATATCTTGTATACCTGTAATGTGTGCAGTATAAATAAAGTTCTTTTATTATTATTATAAAAAGGCATTTAGCTTCATTACCCAAAAAATTAGTCTAGCAGTACAAAGGGGAAATGCAGCGTCAGTGCTTGGGACCCTTCCAGTAGGATCTGGTTTGGAGGAAATTTTTTATATTTGATGTTTTGTTTTTATATTTTATATTTTGTTATTTTATATTTAGTATTTTTCTTTTTTTATAGTTGTATTGCATCTTGTATAACAATTAAAATTGTTCTTATTATTAAACCTCAAAAATATCCAGAAGAAACTGTTTTCCAAATTATACAAAATAATAGACTATAAAAAGCTAACATAAGTACATAGGTAGTTGTGTTGTAGGTACTTGCATTGTTCATTTAATTTATTTTATTTTTTTCTCCATCGCATCTGTTTTATACTTATACTTAGCAAATTTTGTAAATACATATAAAATTGTAGATATCAAAGGCTGAAAGACCTCGGTCAATGGCCCTTTGAACAATTAGTTCAATAAATATTGTTTACTACTACTGGAATATGTCATGCTTCTCGACCTCCTGAACGTAAGTTCTCGTAGGCCCAATAAAAAAAAGTAGTAGAAGAAAAATCTCCAGGATCTGCTGGTACATTAATTTAATTCATAACCAAAAATGATATATTTTTGGAATTTTTCGACAAGTTTTCAACCCTCAAAGCTCCATATGACATTACTTTGGCATTTTTCTGTCCGTTTTTAACCTAGAATATGTAATAGGGCATGTCCTCAGGCATGTCCATGTGACGTCACAATACAATTGAGTTTGACAGTCGCCCTGAGGTAGAACATAGCTATTTATATAACAAGTACCTACATAAAGTAAGGTTTTATTGTACGAATAATTTTATGGCCGAGCGAGCTTGCGAGCGAGGCTATTAAATAATGAGTCAATAAAGTCTGTTTATGTAAGCGTTATATACATTATTTTATGTACGATTGCGACTGGTTCTTGTTAAAATTTTAAAAAATTAATGAAAAAAGTAAAGTTCGCGTAGGTATACCTGTTTCACCTTGGCAGGTTGTCAGGACCTGTTTCACCTAGTCAGGTAGTCCAGGTAGGCAATAAAGTAGCACTTTATTTTACTAGTACAATGCAGTGCTTCTTTATTGACGCAAATAAATAGCACTTTATAGGTCAATCGGACATAAAATCATTTATTCACATTCGTGTAGAGTGTAGATTATGCCGGTTATGTTTTATGCGGTTTTCACAGCTTTTTTACAAGTTTTTGTGTTATTTTGTTCTAAAAAAGTTAGAGTGGAGTGTTTGTGTTCTAGTCTATGTGGTCTTTTATCTAAAAGTTTGCTAGGTTTTCCTATAATGGATTAATTTCAGATTTTTTCCAAGAAATATCAGAACCAAAAGTCACAAGAACAAATATATAAGTATCAGTTAACTCTATATTCAATCTATTTTTCTGACAGATCTTCTCTTTCAAGAACATTAATCAATTTTTCTCTTCTTTCTTGAGCTAACAAATCCAACCTCCCATCATTAGGTATTTGAAATTGATGGAAACCTATGGAAGGATATTGTATCCCTTGCGCTATACTGCCACAATTTACAACTAAACAAACTCTAGGCATGTCCAAGAAACTTCTGGATCACACAAAAGTTATTTTTTAAAAAAAATCTAAATAAAAACTGAAACTAATCATAGGATGTTTTTGGGCTTACGAGAACTTACGTTCAGAAGGTCGACAAGTTAAAAGTCGAATTTTACCTTTGAGATGTTGCAAATAATTAAAATCATCGTCGAAATATATCCCATATTTGTGCTGCTCTTCAATCCTCTTTTCTTTCTCGGCTTTCGATTCATTGTCTTTTCCACCCAGAGGCTTCAAGACACGTTGCGGGGCCGTTTCGTCAGCTACCAGAGGATCTTGCTGACTTCTGTGGACCAGTTGGAAGGTCACTCCTTTAAGTTTTTGCTTACTTTTCGGCTAAAAAGATCGAACTTTTAGGTTTGTTATTGTAAAAACAAAGTTAGGTTAGATTTTTTGTGGAGAGAGTTTTATTTACCATTTTCAACTCAGGTTTGTTTTCCGTTGGGTTTGGAAGACTGTTATTTGCTAGTTAATAGTTCTAAGACCCTGTTTTTTGGGGTTTGGCTTTAAATAATTTAAAAATTATTTAGATTTCACGTGTTTACATTTCACAACTTTTTAGAAAGAAAGTATAGAATTTTACACCGTCAAAAGTGTCAAATGTCAACTAAATCAATATTCAAAACTTCTTTCTTTACAGCTGGTAGCAAAAGTGCCAAAAGTATTCTAGGCTATTTTACTTCTGACGTCACCAGTATGCTATGGGATATTTCGGAAAAAAATGATAGTTCAAGAATTTCAGATTTGTCATTTATGTATTTTTATCCCATTTTGACGTTTAAAAATGTAATTATTGAACGCATAATAACAAAGGTAAGTAGACGTTTATCACCTGAGTGACTTAAAATATTTTTAACTCACTCTCTTTTAAGTCACTCTGCCAGTATAAAAATCTGCTACAAATACAAACAAACAACTAGTTATACCAATTTCAATAATAAGCGCTTTCATAACTACTAAATGAATTCTGTTTATAATTTAATTCCTATTAAGAACCTTATTTTTTGAATGTCCATCAAAATGGGATAAAATTTTATATAAATCACGTGAGTTAAAATGTTTATTCATTCGAAGAAAATCAACCCACTCGCTAGAGCTCGTGGGTTAAACTTTCTTCTCATGAATAAGCATTCATTTAACTCACTTGGTGTATAAATAACTATTATCCCATTTTGACGTTTAAAAATGACATTATTGAACGCATAACAATAAAGGTAAGTAGACGTTTATCACCTCAGTGATTTAAAAACATTTTAACTCACTCTCTGCATTTTAAGTCACTCTGCCCAACTAAAAATCTGAAACCTCAGTGATTTAAAATATTTTCAACTCACTCTCGGCATTTTTCCTTATACTTTATTTTCTAAATTTCCACAAAATGGGATAAAATTTTGTATACATCACGTGAGTTAAAATGTTTATTCATTCAAAGAAAATTAACCCACTCGCTAGGGCGCGTGGGTTAAACTTTCTTCTCATGAATAAACATTCATTTAACTCACTTGGTGTATAAATAACTATTAACTCACTCTAGGCATTTTTCCTTGTACTTTATTTTTTAAATTCCCACAAAATGGGATAAAATTTTGTATACATCACGTTAGTTAAAATGTTTATTCAATCGAAGAATATTAACTCACTCGCTAGGGCTCGTGGGTTAAACTTTCTTCTCATGAATAAACATTCATTTAACTCACTTATTGTATAAATAACTAGTATACATCACGGGTGTTAAAATGTTTATTCATTCGAAGAAAATTAACTCACTCGATAGGGCTCGTGGGTTAAACTTTCTTCTCATGAATAAACATTCATTTAACTCACTTGGTATATAAATAACTATTATCCCCTTTTTGAATTAAATTTCGTTTTTTGCTAATGCTCATTCCTGGTAAGTGAGAAATGCTGAAATGTCAATAGGGACATAAAGCTACTTGAAATAATTCGCCGGTATCGGTATCGGTATCCGTAACGCAACTAGATACGTTGACAAGCGAAAAGGCTGTTAAAGCGCTCCCTATTCCGGTAAACGTAAACGCATCTCATAATCTAGAAATTTTTGTCTCAAAACTCCGGCGTTTTTATATCTACCCTTAAAATTGTTATTTTTTTTTTGCGATAGAGAAGCACTAAACACACAAGAAACTCAAGGAAGTATAAACTAAACAAATTAAATCAACCCGGAAAAAAAGTGAGGTTATATTCATTTAAAATTTGACACATGTGAAGATACGTTAACGATACGGATACCGCGAGAGGGCCGTAACGTTACGTTGTACGTACGGTATCTCGGCCTCCGTATCGCTTCTGCACATGCGCAGTACGATACCGATACGGATACCGAGCAAAAAATACGGAAGTTTTATGTCCCTAATAAATATTAGGGCGTATTTTGTATCAATTAAAAAACAGTACAAGTGTTCAAAGAATTATTTATTATTTAAATAAATACATGTTCAAGCTTCACGTAATAATTTTTTTATACATAAGTAACAATAAAGCCTATTCTACTAAATTTTTTAAAGTCTTCTAATCACAAAGATAGATGCGATAAATAGTAGTTACATGATATAGTTTCATATTATTATAATTTCAAAAATAGGTTTGTTAGAAAAAGGATGAAATAATTTTTTTGATGCTAAATGTGGTATTCTTGTTAAGAAACCTAACAATTTCGAAATAAAAAATGGGAGGGATGTGTACACTTAGCTAACAATTATTAATAATTTAGTTTTCGAATATACTATCTAATTATAAAATGTCGTTTCATGAGAATTATAACATATACAGGGCTTTCATTTCAAAACTTGCCACCCATATTATCTGCGTTAAGAGGCACATTTGTGGAAATCGCCGAAACATGTCAACAAATTTATTGGGGGGGGGCAAGGTTTTTTACGTAAAACTGGACTTTCTTCAACCCCCTAACCAGGGCTACCCACCCTAAATTTTCAAATGAGACAAGGGGTCGAGTGATAGATTATTCTAAAAGGCTGTTTAATCGGCATATTTTGCAGTCCTAGTTTTTGAATTTGAGCTTAGTGTTGAAGAATAACACCCATTTCAATGTTTGAAAATCCCTATTTTTCTTTCAACACACCTGCATCTTTACCTACCTTTTTATTATGGCAACAGGTAAACAAGCAACTGTGTTTAAGGATAAATAGGAATTTTCAAATATTGAAATGGGTGTTATTCTGCAACAGTTAAGTCAAATTTAAATTATAGGACGGCAAAATGTGCAGATTAAACAGCCCTTTAAAATGATCTATCACTCGATTGCCCGTCTCAGTTGAAAATTTTGGAGTGGTAGCTACTCTAGGGCATAGAAATTTGAAGGGGCGAAGTCCAGTTTTACATAAAAAAACCTTTTCCCTCAATAAATTTGTTGACATGTTTCGGCGATTTCCAGGAATCTGTCTGTTTACGCTGATAACGTAAGTGGCAAGTTTTGAAATGAACGCCCTGTATGTAATTAAAAATTGAAAAATAATCTTAATCTCTTAAAAAAGCACAATAAATAAATATAAATTTTTATCATTATTGACGATATCTCTTAAATTTTAGTTTCATAAAAAATGAGCCATGAAAATGGGCCCACCCTTTATAAAACTAATAAACAAAGATAATTTAAATAATTCAAACACAAAAAATGATCAATCAAAAAATATAAAAAGCAAACTAAAGCAGTTCTCAGAAAAGTTGTTCATGGACTAACAAAATCAAAGATCTGTTTCTGAAGAACCTGATTGGTTAACATTCTCCATTTTGTTCAAATCCATAACCAACTCTAAAAAATTAAATCCAACTATCATCTATCATTATACCCCACATAAACCAACAGCCAATCTCATTCTTGCACCTCATGCGTATCGCCAGGAGCGGCATTATAATTTAATTCCTCCCTTTGAACCTGAAAAAAGCCGCTCATTTCTTTGTTTTCTAGAAAATCGGTTGGAGCCACTATCGGTATGGCTGCTTTGGGCCGTTTCAACGGCACCGAACGCTGAGCGATTTGTTGATCGGCCGAATAGTAAGTTATACCGCCTTGAGGTTGGTACAGTTCAGCTGGCTGAGTCTGAAAATAAATAAAATTTGTTTGGGTTATTTTTGTCAAAAAAAATTATCTCAACTTACCACTGTGTTGACGTTGAATTGACCCTGGTAACCCTGGACAAAAGCGGGTTGGGCCTGAGTAACGTAGCTGACTATCTGAGGTGGCGCCGTGGGCGGTATGAATTGTGGCGGGGCTGCTTGTAGATAGGCTTGGGGCGGCGGTGGAGCTGCGAAAGTTGGCGGCGGAGCAAATTGAGCCTGAAAATGTATTGAAAGAATAGTTTAACACTGCGCTAGTGCGACAGCACTCTTACGCAATTTTGGTTGAGTCTATTCACTGCCATGTGGTGTTTTCAGTTGATTTTTGTTCAGGGAAAGGGAGTGTTTCTCAACAAGGTACTTCTGGATTGTATCAACACTCAGGTCCGTATGTAGGTCCGCATTGCGGACATACCACGGAGCGCCAACCATCCTACGGATTACCTTGATTTGAAACACCTGCAGTTTCTTTTTATTTCGACGTGTTGTCTGTGAAAAAACTGTTGCACCGTAAAGTAATGTAGGTGGAATAACTTGTTTGTACAGGGTGGTCCAAATTGGACACTTTCTTATGGAAACATCCTTTATTTTTAGAGATAGGGAAAAATGGACCCACCACTCTGAGGATCAAATTTCATGAAATCTTGATTGGTGCAAACCGCATTTCGATATCTTCAACCGTTTAGCCGCTAGAGAGCGATTCTGGATTTTGAACAATACTGTAAAGCCTCCATAACTTTTTTGTTTATGAAAATAATTCATTTCCGTAAAGACTTTCTCGAAGCACTTTTTCAAGCAGAATTCAGTGACGTTCTCAGTTTTTTTCTGTTTGACTTCGATTGTGAGATATTGACCAAGATTCGATTTTTTTCAATAGGACACTCTATATATCAATAGCTCATTAGAAAGCTCTGCTTTTGCTGATTTCAATGATATAAAGTTCGATAGGTTTATCTCTAACGGTTTTCGAGAAAAAAAATATTTCGGTTTTTTGCATAATAATAATAATAATAATAATAATTTATTCCAGGATCAAGTTTACAATTAAGTTTTCAAGTTTACAATTTCTTCAATAACTGTGCTACATATGGAAATAACATTAACAATAAAACCCTCTTAATAAAATTTCCACAAATTCCAGGTATTTTTTTTTTTTTTTTACTTTCTCCTAGGAGTTTATTGGTTGCACAATGGATTTTTCAAAAATCTGTGTGTGCATACCGTACCAAATATTACACAATTGATAAATTAGTCAAGGTTATAGAAAATTTATACAATAAAAACAAATATAGTATCCTATTTCACTATCACAAAAGCTAGCAAGTTCATTTTTCTTTATTTTAAACAAATGGAAAACATATCCTACTATTTATAATCCAGTCTTTAATTTGGTGTTTAATTTTGGAATATGGTTTACTTTTAAATTCCTGTGGTAAGGAATTATAAATCTTCGGGCCAGTAAAGTTAATATGCTTTTGCATGGCCAAATGTTTAACTGAAGGGATAAGTACATTATTTCTTGCAATATGTCGGGTGTTTAGCTGATGCTGCAGGTTAAACTTATAATAAGGTGATGCTATCATAAATCTTATTACACTTTTAATATATAGCTGTTCCAGTGTCAGAAGTCTACTCTCATTAAACAACAAATCTGTAGAGTATAGTTTGTTTTTAAACAACATTCAGGCCTATGATGTATCAGTTTCTGTTATTTTAACAGCAACGTTAAGTTATCTGTCACTGTTTATTCTACACGTGAAAATAAAGACAGGTATAGATTTTGAGCTATAACACAACTGTTAAAATAACAGAAACTGATACATCATAGGCCTGATTATCTTAATAATAAACTTTTGGATAATGAATAGTGGCTCTCTTGTTGTTTTACAAGCACTTCCCCATACAACCAACCCATAGTTAAGAACGGACTCGACAAGTGAAAGATATACCATTCTTAGAATTTTAGTTTTTAGTATGTTTCTTAGGTCATAAAATTTATGAATCAGTTTTCTTATCTTATTTGTAACGTACTCGACCTGTTTTTTCCAGTTTATATTTTCATCAATGAAAACCCCCAAATACTTCAAAAATGCTTTACGTTCAATCCTAAATTTACAATTACATTGTCCCAATTTACAACCCGGGTCATGAATTTCTAGATGTTGGAAGCTAGGTAAATTTCTCTGGGTCAGTCCGAAGGCAATAAGAAACGATGTGTTGGAGAAGGACTTTATCTCTGTAAGGATATTGAAAAAGGTCTCTTTCTAACCCATTGTTTCTTATGACAAAAACCGAAATATTTTATTTTTTCGAAAACCGAATATTGTTTTTAACGAAAATGGCAGTACCACCACCAGCACGGTTAGGTCTGTCATTTCTGTATATAGTATAGTTTTGTATGTTGTAAATTGTATGTGGTCTGAGCATAGTCTCCTGGACTAATGCTATGTCAATATTATCCTCATGTAAGAAGGATGCAAACTCATATCTTTTGGGAAAGATAGAGTTTGCATTCCAAGAGATTATGTAAAGTTTTGTCGTTCTAGGTGTATCACCAACTATCTAGATTAGTTGTGTTAAAAGTTTGAGGCTAGGATGATTATTAATCATCTCAGCCAGTCTGGCCAGTTTATTTGAAATCTCTTGCTCTGAAAGAGTCAAGAGACTTGAAATGGTGTTGTTAGTCAAGTTTAGTTGTTGTTGTTTGGCGGTTTTAGTATTTGTGCTGTTATTGATATTGTCGGTATTCAATTTCATTTTTTGAGCGTAGCTCACAAATGGGGTTGTAGTTTTAAATAAAGCTGCTGTGTCAGTTAAGGGAGAAGAGCTTTGAGCTGGAGTTGGTTTGGGGGTGGAAGGGACATTTCTGTTTGGATACTTCGGACAATTTCTATAATTGGCCGGATTTGCACCTCCGCAATTGACGCATGTAGGGAGAGAGTTTATGTCTTTGGTACATTTAGTGTAGAAATGATTGCCAGCACACCGATGACATTTGGGCTTTTCAAAGCAATTAGACAAAGTATGCCCAAAATGCTGACAATTTTGGCATTGTGGAACATACCTTATCCTTACTATGCTGGACCTCAATGGTCACCGGCATGTAGCTAATCCTCTTCATGTCGTTAAATCTGTCGGCTTCATCTGGGAAGACCAGGAGTTTCAATCAAAGAAGAGCCTTTGAGGCCACGACTTTGAGAAGGCTTGAATCTTTGGATCTCTTTAGAAGAAAAACTCAAAGATTCAAGCTCCTCCTGGACTTCACCAAGATCTTGATGTCTGTCAGGTCCCTCAACCACCACATTTATTATTTTTTCGTCTGGAAGAAAATAAGAGTGAAATTCAATTTTTTGTTCTTTAAGAAATTTGGTGATGCCACGATGGTCATCAGGAGAGTCAGAAGTGATGGAAATCTCCAGTCGGTTTTTTTAGGGTCAGTAAAAAATAGTTTCATGTCCGTAAGTTTTGTTAAAAGTTGCTTAGGTCCCAAAATATTCCTTAAAATAATTGGAACGTTTTTTTTAGGGGAATTGCTTTTTGTGGGCATGGTTTCTGTATTCTGTGAGGTATCGGCATATTTGTTCTTTAGATAAGTCACTAATTTCTTGTTAGTACTGTGAGGAAAGTTGAGCGGAGCAGTATGTTTTGGTCATCATCAAATACGGGGCGATCAATTTGGATGTCCATGTCATAGTCTGTACCTGATGGAGTCGGTACGTCCTTGTCAATTTTACATGATTTGTTTTTGTTAGTTTTTGTCTTTGATAAATTATGACTTCTAACTTCCATTACAATTGTATCTAATGAGGCTTGCTAAGTCTGTAACTGTTCTTTTAGCATTTTATTCTCTTTTTCTAAGAGCTCATACCTCCTTTCTAGTGACTGCGAAATGTTGATAAAGGAACTAGGGTGCTTTGTGATGCCGCAGCTTTCAACTCACCCTTCTGCATTTCATTTTCGGTTTCAGGATATTGGGAATTGGAATTGGGAATTTTTTCAGGACCTGGATCAAAAATAGGGGTTTTCGGCATCTTGCCAATAGCGCAACAAAAGGTTATATTTTTCTTGGCTGAAGACTTGTAATAAAATATATCTGGGCGATTTGGCATGCAAATTGCAGGGCTTTAGCACGGAGCCAACAACACAGTGACAAATTCTTTGACACTGTCGTTCTGAAAAATTTCTCGTTTTCAATGCGATAATGGCGGAGAATGTGTTTCCAATAAAATTCTAAATTTATTTCAAGAAAATGGTATTCAGTGGAAGCACACCATTGCCTACACTCCACAACAGAATGGTGTAGCGGAAAGAATGAATTGGACCATTATTGAGAAAACAAGCTGTATCGTTTTGAATGCTTGTATGTCAAAAATTTTTTGGTCAGAGGCAGTAATGGTTTCTGCCTAATTAACAGAAGTCCGACCAAAACACAAAAAAAAATTAAAGGTTTTTGGATGTGTGGGGTATCTTCACATACCAAAGAAAGTCAGCATTACAGTAAATTTAATAGACAGGTTAGGGACTGTAACATGGTTGACTATTAGGCATTCCAACGACCTGTCAAAACGTGCGTTGTGGGCGAAAGTTCATTTTCCCGTATATGAGAGTATGGAATTGAAAGCTTTTTAAAGTGCATTTTGTGATTGTTTTGTGAATGAACTCTGCTAATTTTTTTATTCTATTGACTTCATTAGTGTTTCTTCTAATTAAAAATGCCACAAACGTGTCTTGTAGTTGATTGTGGAAGTAGTTTCAACAAGGTAACAAGGATGATGTCAGGCTTTTTTTATTGCTCTCTGTTTCAAAATTTTCCAATCAATACGTGAAAATTTTTCACTACCACTGTTCCTGCATCTAAAATTAAGCCAGAGTCAAAATACTTGTGAGAATCTAAGCTTTTGTAGGCCTTCATTTGCTCATTAATGTGAAATTTGTGAAAATTGTGGGTCAAAATGTCAACTGGACATTTTTTCAAACTAACCGTTCACCCACATCCCGATTTTCCTGCATTTAAGTCTTTAAATATTCACTCTGCATTTCAAAAAGTATATTATAACAAAGTAAACTGTAATTAGCTTGAAAATATTCCAAATAAACTCAAGATAAACACACAAACGTCAAATTTTCCACACTCGCTATATTGAAAAATCACGTGGTTTGGAGAACCTAAATCTCCAAATCGATACAGACTTTGGAGTCCAAAAGAAAACAAAAGTTAT